ACCGTGTATACTCAAGCCTCCGACCCACTTTTGAAAAATATTTGAAAAACAATCTTACAACCTAGTAACAATAAGCAACAACAATGACATTGATAACATATAATTGAACTGACAGAATTGACATTTTATCGTGTCTTTCTCGTACAATTTGAGGAAACTCGAAAATTATCCATAATTTTTATTTTATTTACTAAATTATATTCGATTTTAATATTTTTAATCATCTTTATATAATTTTGGTATTGTTTTTATAATATTTTAATTCGATGAAATAGAAGATATTTTTTCCTTATATTTTGATATAATATGTTATTCTCTTCCTGGAAGGCCCACATGAATTATTTTAATTGTCCCACCAATAATAAGAGATATTATTATTTATTTCTATTTAAAAATTTATGATATATTTTATTTTAAATTAATTTTAGGAAGGTTTTAATTTCAAAACTCCTTTTTATTATGGTAAAATTGTGTTAGAGTTCTATTTAATGAATAGATTACTTTTGAAAAATAAATAATTAATTGACCGACACTATAATATAAAAAACATTTTACACTAAAATATATAAAAATAAATTATGTCGATGTCTTTTTAGTTCTATTTTCATTTCTTATCTGTTCAAATTTATGGATAGGTTCGAGTGTTTTTTTTTTTAAAAAAAAAAACTAAATAGTTACATGGCCTAATTTTCGTCGGTTATTATTATAACTCATTAGTCGAGTTACAGATAATATTCTAATCGAAAACTTTGAATAACTATAAATAAAAGCTTTCAAGGGTCGAGTTTGACCTCTAAGTTAAATTTGTAGGTAAAAATAAATTTCTCCCGTTTTGAACGGAGATTCAACTCTCTGAACTTCGGAATATGAAAAAAGAAAGACATGGAGATAGATCTAAGCTCGATGGAGGTAAAAGTGTGGTAAAAAAATGTTGAATAATTTCATAGAAGACATCGAAAAGGGTCACGAGAAGTATTGTTGGGACAGTCTGTCTTGTAAATCAGTGTTCTCATGTTTGTTGTCTCTTTTGCTGATTTAAAAAGAAAAAAGAAAAACCCTGTTTTGACCTTCCCCAATTAATCCCTTCTTCAATCTCTTCCATTTTCCAACCTTTTCTTCCACATTCTTTTAATTGGATCTCACTCTTTCTCTTTCCATTTATATTTTTAAAAGATTTGTCTTTTGAATCGTTGAGTTTTTCGTAATAGATTTATTTCGTCTTTCGAGTTCAAAACGTACACTTTAGCTTATGAATTTTGAAAATTTTGTTAAAAAAAAAATGTATGTTCCTGAATCTTGAAAAATAAGTATAAACTGTTCTTTCGAGTTTTGTTTATAAACGCACACATTTTGTTCGTACATTTTCAAAAATAGGTTTAAACTGTCCTTTCGAGTTTTGTTTATAAACGTACACTTTTTTTTCCCCTGAATTTTGAAAAATAGGTTTAAACTGTTCTTTCGAGTTTTGTTTATAAACGCACACTTTTTGTTCGTAAATTTTCAAAAATAGATCTAAATTGTCCTTTCGAGTTTTGTTTATAAACACACACTTTTTGTCCTTAAATTTTCAAAAAGAGGTTTAAACTGTCCTTTCAAGTTTTGTTTATAACCATACACTTTTTATCTCTAAATTTTTAAAAGTAGGTTTAAACTGCCTTTTCGAGTCTCGTAACGTACACTTTTAGTATTTGAATTTTAAAAAGTAGGTTTAAAATATACTTTCAATTTCAAGTTTCAAAACTTACACGTTCAGTCTCTAAATTAATATTATCGTACATTGATAGATCAAATATTCGTTCCATGTTAAACCCTTTTTTATAAATTTATAAAATTACAATTTTTTTTTTTTTTTTTTTTTTTTTTTTTTTGTGCAGATTTTTGGATAAAGCAGCAATCAGAGAATCAGAAAAAGGGGCTGATATTACATTAATGAACAAATGGTACATATCAACCCTAACTGATGTTGAAGAAGTAAAAATGGTTATTAGAATGCTACCCATTTGGGCCACAAGCATCATGTTTTGGACTATCTACGCCCAAATGTCCACCTTCTCCGTCTCCCAAGCTTCCACCATGGACCGCCGCATCGGAAAGGCCTTCGAAATCCCCGCCGCCTCCCTCACCGCCTTCTTCGTAGGTAGCATTCTCATAACTGTCCCAATTTATGATCGTATCATCATCCCCATCGCCCGAAACCTACTCAAAAACCCTCAAGGTCTCACCCCATTACAACGAGTCGGTACAGGTTTAGTTTTATCGATTCTCGCCATGGTAGCTGCAGCTCTCGCCGAGCTAAAGCGACTCAAAGTTGCAAGTTCACACGATCTAATCAATGATAAGACCGCCGTGGTTCCGTTAAGCGTGTTTTGGTTGGTGCCACAGTTCTTTTTAGTAGGGTCGGGTGAGGCGTTTACGTATATGGGGCAACTTGACTTCTTCTTAAGGGAGTGTCCTAAAGGGATGAAGACAATGAGCACAGGGCTATTTCTAAGCACACTATCATTAGGGTGCTTTTTTAGCTCATTTTTGGTGACAATTGTGCACAAAATCACAGGAGGGAAGCCATGGTTGGCTGATAATCTCAACCAAGGGAAGCTTTACAATTTCTATTGGCTTTTGGCTATTTTGAGTGGTTTGAATTTTGGGGTTTATTTGGTTTGTGCTAAATGGTATGTGTACAAGGATCAAAGGCTGGCTGAAGTGGGTATTGAGTTAGAGGAATCAGACATGCCTTGCCATGCATAAAGAGTACTCATCATGGCCCAATATCATACCTCTCTTTTGCCTTTTTGGCATATAAAGTTTGTAATATCTTTGCATACAATATGAAAAGGAATAGAGAAAGAAAAAGGGGAAATTGAACTTTTCCGAGTGGTTTGAATGTAATTGTCGATCAATCAATGATTATGATGAATGAATACAAGAAATAATTAATACAAAATGATGTAATTGTGTTTTTTTCTTGAATTATTATGAATTTTAGATCTGGGTTACATTTTTTTTTCGAGATAAACGATTTTTCGATAGCAAAATCATGTGGGTTTCTTTTTTAAGCCGTTAATTATGGTTTGTTTAATTGAAATAATTGAAATGATCATCCATGATTGATGGACCTACCCTTCATTGATTTTGTTTTGATTGCTTGACTAATTTGTTTTGAATAGTGAAATACAACTAGTTTTGTTTACTTATTTTAATAAAATAAATTAGTATGCTGGTCAAATGAACATGAATCCACATATAAAGGCAATAATTATTTTGTTTTGTACACTTTTTCTCAATTAAAAAAAGTTTTAGAGTTAATTCAAATGATTAAAGGGCTTGACTAGGAAAGATTCGAGAAGGGTAATCACTCGTTCTTAAAACCAGCATGTTTAAGAAGAGCAAAGAGACGACTGGCCTTTTTTGTAGCTGGATGCTCCACGACTCGATACCTTTTTAGATTTGAGAAGAATTACTCTTTGGAGGGTATAATGCGTTGCTCTTAGCCTTATGTCATTGACTGTAATTATATTAGGGTTAGTGCTCGATTAGCTCCTATGAACGTAACAATACTAAGAAAATCTTATATCACTAGTTACTTATTTTCTAGCTCATTTTAATCATGGATATCATGTGGCCCGACAAATAATTTGTTTCCCATCATGTAGCTCCTAAGCTTATATCAATTATTGGTTTTTCGTGACCCACCACATGATTAGTAACACATCATTTAGCCTCTCTGATCTTATCTCAATTATTGGTATTACATGACTAAACTCAATGATTAGTTTCATATCATTTAGCTCCTCTGAACGTATTTCAACTCGATTCAAGTGAGGCTTTACCTCCTCTTAAATAGCCCAATTCTAAGGCATATGTAGATACTATCCTACGAGAGAGTTTACCTCTACAGTTTTAGTTAGCATTACTCAAGTAACTAGTCCAAATCACAAATCACGTGTGAGCAACCCCTGTCCTTCCAACTTATCTCGATGTTATGCAGACCTCTGTCCCTTGAAACAAGTTCACTATTATTGGATAGTTGAAAATCATCTAAAGATTTTCTACGTAATACGACATATATGATATATTTCAATAAATACCATGTGAGTCCTGTCCATCGAGAAAGTCATAATAAAAAGTTAATTAGCGACCCTTTAATAGTCTCCACATTGTATAACAATAGGAGTGATCCATGTGTCTCTACCACTTCATACAACACTGTGTGGATCGTTGTCACTCGTGTAACTTCTAACCATCCCCACATAGTAAGTAGCCCATAAACAACATGAACCATAGATAGGGTTTGATAAATTACATAACCAAACAACATGTCATACTTTCTTATTCAAAGGTTCACGTGGTTCACGTGGTATACTTCAGTTCAACAAACTCGAGCTTTGTTTTGTTTTTCTTCTAAAATACAATGTAGCCCCATAATTGGCATGGAAATGTTAACTAGTCTATATGATTCTTTTACCAATCTATTCTTATTCTTTTATTAACGAAATATGAAGACTAATTAGCCTATATGTTTCTTTTACCATGAAAAAATGGTTGGTTTTAGTCACAAATATAATTATTATCCTAATTTTAATACAAGTACTATACAATATGATTTTCTTCCATAAAGGAAAATGGTTCAATTTTTGCAACATCTAAGGGCAATCTATTTTTCAATTTTAAAGATAAATAAATATTTTTAATATTTAATGAGATGACGTAGATTGTGAGATTCCACATCAGTTGAAGAGAAAAACAAAACATTATTTATAAAAATGAAAATCTGCGCATTTTAAAAACCTTGAGGCCTTGAGGGGAAGCCTGAAAGGAAAAACCCAAGGAGGATAATATCTACTAACGATAGGCTAGGGCCGTTACAAATTAAGTCTATTACATCATAAAAAGTTTTATCTTTATTTACACTCATGGCTCATCACAAAGCCAGAGAAGTTTTGTTCATTGCAGCAGCAAAGAATTATACTTGGTATATATATATATATATATATATATATATCTATATATATGGAATATGTGTATATTCAGCTGAACAGAAGCGCTTACATAATGGATTGAGGGAAAAAAGAACATACTTTGTCCCCTTCTCATCTAAATACCATAAAAAAACTAAACAATCGCTCAAAAAGAAGCTTATAGAGAGAGAGGGATGACCATGAAAATGGTGCATAAGATTTTAATCTAAAGAGTATGGCTGAAGGAAGAATTCCTTACCTAAGGCCTCAAAGAATCATCAGTTCTTATTAACCTTTGAGAAGAAGTATAGTGAAAAGAATTAAGTAGAAGAAGGCCAGGCTACTCGTGCGTGTTTGTCGATGATTCAACAACGTTTTCGAGCTACTCCCTGCATTATTTGGGGTAAACATGAAGAACATACAAAGAAGGTAGGGATTATACAGCTTATCAAACTATATCTCTTCCTAATTATGATATCAGATCTTGGAATAGTTTTGTCATGAATAAAGCAACTTCAAAGATGATGGAAATTGCAGAAGTTTTAAGGAGCAATATGCACAAACAAACTTAGACTGGCATTTCTTTGGAGTGGCAAAAATTCTGCAGATATGCAAAGGAAACCAATGACTCACCTGACTAAAATCTTGATCCCGATTCGCCGACCATGCTCTCGTTCAACTCGCTAAATACATCTGGGCAACCATCCCATTTTCCTTCCTTTCGTGCTTCCCAGTAGCCACCCGTGTATCGGTATGGCCCATCTTCACCTTCTTTATAGAACCATCTGGGTTTCCAACCACTGTCTTGCAACTTCCTAGACTGTGTAGTGGGAGAAAAAAATGAGTGATGGAAGAAATTTGGGAAGGGAAAAAGAAAGATGAATCATGCCTGCCCTGATAGAAAATAAATCATACCAGCTTATGGTCTATATTCAGAAGGGATGGGGTGCTAGTCTTCTCTCTAGAGGCATATAAATCTATCTGAATGCTAAATCTCATTTTCTAGATTCAAATTGGTAAAATAGATATTAATCTTTTGCTTCCTGTCAGATCCTACATCGGTTGGGGAGGAAAACGAAACATTTTTTATTAGGGTGTGGAATCCTCTTCCTAACAGACGTGTTTTAAAAACTTTGTCGATAAGTCCGAAAGAGAAAACCCAAAGAAGACAATATTTACTAGTGGTGGGCTTGAGGCATTACAAATGGTACCCAGGCGATGTGCCAGCGAGGGGGGCTGAACCCGGAAAGTGGGTGGACACAAGGTGTGCCAGCAAGGATGTTGAGCCCTATAAGTGGGTGGACATGAGACGGTGTACCAGCAAAGACGCTGGGCCCAAAGGGGGGCTGGACACGAGATAGTGTGTCAACAAGAATATTGGGCCCTAAAGGGGGTGGATTGGGGAGTCCCACATCGATTGGAGAAGGGAACGAGTGTCAGCGAAGACACTGGGTAGATTGTGAGATCCCACATCGGTTGGGGAGGAGAACGAAGCATTGTTTATAAGGTGTGTGAAAACCTCTCCCTAGCAAATGCGTTTTAAAAACCTTGAGAGAAAGTCTTAAAGGAAAAGTCCACAAAGGACAATATCTACTTGCGGTGGGCTTGGGGCGTTACAGATCCTTTGGACTTGTTTTACATTGCAGTAATAACTATACCATGGACAACAAGATTAAACTCTACTGTCAACCTACTCACAATATAGCCCTATCAAATGGGCCAGCATAAGTTAACTGCAATGGATATGAGTATATATTTTCAAATCTTACCATTTCTGCATAAATGCAAAAGCATCTGACATGTATTTCAATAATTGCAAAGCCTACAACTAATTGTAGCTTCTTGGACTTACGATTCGCTGTCGTCTCTCCAAGCGTTGTTTCTCAGCATTTGCCTTTTCGTATTCGCCATTTTCCAAATGCCGCTGGTCTGGTCTAAGTCTTGAATCCGTGGGTGGAAGCCTTTCCTTAATCCATGATGAAACGCCAAGGATCAGATAAGATTAATGAGGACAAGTAAAAGGAAATACAGAGTTGATACATCACATGTACCTTCAGGTCCAGTGTCAGTTCATTAAGAGTGATGGCAAATGAAGTTAAATTGTAACGAGTGAGATTAGGAGGAGGTTTTTCGCTTTTCCACAGCATCGATTCGTCACTTGAAGGCATATTGCATTTCGGGTTAACACTGCTCTCGCCTTCCACGTAATACATACCTTCATCCCACTTGCCAAATAATGTCGCAACCTTTCGACCATTAGCGTCTTCAACAAATCCATGAACCTAGTGATTAGCCAGGAAAAAAAACATTGAAACAGCTCAACTTGACCAACATTTTGCAAATACGTTGAGGATCAATAACTAGTTAACACTACAATTTACTTCACAACTGGTCGACATTTTGCAGCAATGTCACTAACCTGATGAGGATTTCGATCTAGAATTGAAGGCTCCTTGAACTTAAGTGTGCAAGAATATTCTCTATTGCCTCGTATTTGCATTGTACCATGATGATCACAATATACTTTTCCAAGAATGAGATTATAAATATTTGTTGTGACCTGAAAATCATAAATAGACTTTAGATGTTAATCAAGTATAAGTTAAAATGAATCCAGAAACAGAAAGCACTTTTTATCTCTGTTTTCATCAGTATAAAACCAGTATCTATTCTCACCTTGCTCCATTGAAATAATTCTCCATCATCAAATTCCAGGTTAAGAACTCCAACAGGATCGAGCTGAATTGAACGACCCCAAAATTTCGATCGGAGGTTGCTGTCACCCCAGAATCTCCATCCTCTACCTTCACAATGGCACGCAATGACGGTTGGGTGATGACTGACCTGAAGTTAAAACATCATTAAAATAACTTGAGTTATGCTTGAGTTAATTTGTAGAGGCTAAAACGAAAAAGAAAGTAATAGTCATGGTCATTAGAGACCTTCTCGGAGAAGAAGCGAATCCCTTTTTCAGGAAAGTCAGCTTCATACGTTTCGCCAAGCAAAGGGTTGAATGGTTTACAATGTCGTCCTTCAGAGGAAGCGTAACCAGAAACGGCAAATGCAGCAACCTTGAGGACCCTGAGGAAATTGTTCCCCTGGTAATAAATTTCAAGATTAGGCAGAAAAATGAATCATAACAAAAGAAATAGAGATACGTTTTAAAAGATAGAAACAATGTATAGATGCATAACTTCTCACCTGTCTTCCATATTCATATGCTTGGTCTAAAAGATGAGAATATTCAAGGTCTTCACAACATTTCTGAAGGGATGATATGGGCTCGTTGAAATAAACTGGGAGACAAACTCGTGTAAGATCCTTTCCAACATTGTCTTTTATCATAGACCAAAGACTGACTCGTTTCTCTTTCTCCACCGGATCTGGAAGGTTTTTCCTTCTCTCAACATTAACATGAACAGAATTTTCAATGCTCTGTTTGTGGTGCATCTTCTCTACATCGTCCTGTCGACTTCGAAGTTCCTTAACTTTATCTAAGGAATCAGAACCCCCTTCTACTGACCCACAGCTAAGAGTGAGTTCTGAAAAAGATTCATTTGTGTCATAAAAGAAATTTTCATCAACATCTGACCCATCTTCAAGATCTTGTTTCTCAACGTCTTCTGAAGACTCCGTAGTCGTACATTCTGTAGAATTAAAAAGAAAAAAGTTTCTTAATGATAAATGTTGAGGATTGTTGGTGGGGAGTCCCACATCGGCTAATTAAAGGGTTGATCATGGATTTATAAGTAAGAAATACATCTCCATTGGTATGAAGCCTTTTGGGGAGACCAAAAGTAAAGCCATGAGAGCTTATGCTCAAAGTGGAAAATATTATACCATTATGGAGGTTCGTGGTTCCTAACAATAGAAACCGCTACCAAAGCTGTAAAGACGGTAGAACCATATTCCCTGTATAATAGTATGATTTCCCATGCACCAACTGAACAATATATTCTGCACCAAAGACCGTTTCCTTAAATCTACACAAAGTTGCCCATGGATGTTCAAAATATTGCATTCTGATCAAGAGATTGACCCAAGCAAATGTTATATGCATTGAAATGTTGAGACATGGCGACAAAATGATAATCATCAAAGAGTAAACAATAAACCAGAATAGTTCATATAACAAGCTTACCACTATACTTCCCACTGCATTCGGTGGAAAAATCATGTTTCATCAACTGGTATTCACCATTGTGAATTCCATTAGCTTCAATTTCTATATTAGCTGCCTGCACATTGAATGGAAATCCTTGAAATGAATATTAACTACCCTAACGTAGTTTCTTTTTTTTTCAAACAAGAAACAAAGAATTTCAAGCAGTAATCCACAAAGCTTTAGAACTTAAACGAGCAGATCAAATTACAATTATGCAGCACCTAAAGAATATAAAATTGAAGTTATATTTTAAACAAAATAACATCATAGCTCCTAAAATTCTTCAACGCTAACAGAGACACCAGTTGATCAATCAACAAATAACTAAGAAGTTACCTCCAGTTCCCTCAAGGTATCAATCAAACAAGATCTTTCTTCCAAAAGTACTTTCAGCTGTCCCTGCATTTCTGAGAATTCAGAGAGGATGATTTGTTCGCAGTCCTTAACAACTGCATCACTGATACCCTCTTCAAGTAAACGCTTCTTGAGTTTCTGAGCGGAAAGAGATAAATCATTTGGTACAAAGGGAAGATTATCATTCACAATTTTCAATGGAAATAAGTTTCTGGAAGAGGCTAAAGCTTGTATCCAGGTCACCCTGTCGTTCTTTGATTCCGTTCTCAGATGAAGTGTCTTTGTGGCAGTGAATATATAAAACCGCCGCTCATCTGACTTGCTTTCTCGAAACCGTGAGACCTGCGTGGATACAAAAGATCCTTTCGATGATATCAATTACCAAATGGGTGGATATCATTTGAATATTATCATTACGTTACTTCAATTTCATAATGATATCAACTTAAAAGTATAAATAAAGAACCATTAAAAGTGGCTTGCTTACCCAGAGAAGAAACCAATTATACTGACTTGTTCAACCTTAACCAATTCAAAAATGCATAAAAGGGGCCCCAATTTTTTCCTTAAACAAACCAAAAGGAGCTTGTTGAATGAGGCTTCTCATTACAATGCAAACAAGCAAAAACCGGCTCCATGTCCTCAATCACCGGCAAAATTCTAAGGAACACCCAAAATCAAGCAGCAAAATTCCAGATCTAACAAAGATAAACCCCTGTCTCCTTCTCTTTCATACAATTGAGCGAAAAATCCTGTTTTAGAAATGGAGGATAGAGGTGTCCCACTAATTGTTTCTAGTCCCCACCAGTTTTTCATTTGTAGCGAGATGCCAAGTTTTTTTGTCCCTTCCTTTTAAAAGCTAAGCTCAAAATAACAGTAAAAAGAAATAAAGAAAGAGAGGCAGAGAAATGCCATTGAAAGTGGAACCCATACAAGCCAAACAAAACAATCCAAAATAAAGAATTTGTTTTCCAAAACCAGCTACGTCATCACATTTCCTAAAATAATATTTAACCTACACTCAGATCTTTACGCTCATACTTTTTCCCCAAAACCCAAAAACATCAAAAGATTAAACAAATAAAAAAAAACCCCATAGATTCAAAGATTTCAAAAGGAAAATCTTAATCACCACAAAAAGTGAAATGAAAAAGTTCATCCCAGTTTTCAGCACTCAATTTATGGCTAATCATAATATTAAACACCCATGAACAGCAATAGCAGAGAAATAAACAAGGAGGAATATGGAATTATTTGGAAGAGTAATTGAAAATTGTAAACAGCAATGACGATTGATCACTGAAGAAACTAGAGGGTAAAAGCAAGAACATGATGTAAAAACCAGGCGAAATCGAAGATCACAAACCCCAACAACGAAACGGAATCGAGGAACAATGGCAAAGTTCAAATTGAGATGGAAACAAACAAATTCATAAACTCAAATCAAAAAACCCCCAAAATTTATAATCGAGAAACTACTATTTCACCTTCAAATGAACTATTCCCCCAGTTTTCTGTCGCTTCCCTCTCGGAAGCCGATTCGTCGAAATCTGTCCGATCAATCGAACATCGTCATCAGGAGATAGAAGGCCAATTTTGGAGTACGATAACACACCATCTCTCAAAACGAACCATCTCGATCTCCATCCCTTCCCGTAATTAGTCCACTTGTATAGAACTCCAGCCACTCTAGTTACAGATCCAGAAACCTGCAGCGAGTTATTATTTGAAAATGCCGGAAGGCTCACCGGCAAGCTTCTACTCCGCGACAACGACGAGGCTTCCTCCGGCGACTGGTCGCCGATTCCGCCGCTGAAATTCTCCAGAGAGATGCAGCATAGAGGGTGCATCTCCTTAACCCGCATTAGAGTTATTCTTCGTTTTCTTCAATTGTGGAACGCTATACGAACGTATCCATCAGCCCTGTTCTCCATTCAAACACTATATCAAAAAAAAAAAAATTATGAGAAATGGAATTAGGTTGTAATTAAACAGGGAAGACGGGGATTGAAAGTGATGATTGAATAGTGNAAAAAAAAAAAAAAAAAAAACCAAAAGAGAGGGGAGGCCGCCATTGACGGACCTTCGCAGAGCTCTGAAACTCAGAGGGATTCGACATGAGAGAGAGATGAAATGAAGAACTGAACTGAAAGTGTAGTATTTTGGTTACGAAGGCAAAGGTATTATTTAAAATAACTTAGATTTTATTTTATTTATTTATTTATTGATTTAATTAATTAAAGAGGGGTGGTACAAAAATTACTTTTTTGTTTCTTGGGCTGTACTCCATCCCTCTGACTAAATTTTTCCAACTCGAACAAAATTTACTATTCAATTTATCTCAAAAAAAAAATTTAAATTTTGGTTCGATTAGGTTGTCGGGTTATTTTTATTCAATTTATTTATTTAATAAAATTTAAATATTAAATATTCACAAGTCACAGTATTGATATAGATATAGTGCAAACAAACACCTGCATTACAGGGTTTAGAGAACGTTCTAGTGTGTGATTTTCTATTATATTTGGCTAGAGCTTAATTTTGTGCGTACATTGTTACCGTGCTATTGTTACATCAAATGGGTACTGTTAGAGTTCGAGGATTCATATAGCCAAATAAAAATTAGAGATTAAAATAGGATTTAATTGAACTAAAAAGTGGGTTTTGTTTTGTGTGAGTAAAATAATATATATTTTAGACTTTTTATTTTGACAAAAACATTCGGTATCTAATCTTTACCATAAAAAATGATTCGAGCAGCCAGTCTGAGCTTTTTTGAATCAAGAGAGTTACTTTTGGTTCGTATAGTCCAGCTCAGATGGGCTTGTCTTAATCAAATAATCTAACTCATTCGAGATTATTTTAATTATAGGGTTCATGATTCGTAGTATATATAGACTCTGTCAATCTAGGTAGTTAATTACTAGAAGATTAGTTGTCAATTCTCTAGCAGTCTCAATATAGCAGAATAATCATAATCACTAGAGAGTATTCTCGTGTTTGCCAACTATTACAATACTCACAACTCGTAGCTGACTATACTGGGATTTTTTTTAAACCAAGGGTCGTGGGAGAATTATGAATCATCGATTTATGGGGATTGAGTTAATTTGAAGAAAGAACTATTGTGAAACGTCCTTAAACTCATCAGAATTTTGGTACATTTTTAGAGTTTTAAAACAATCGTCTCTCTAGTTAGTACCATAAATTCATTGTCGATTTGTTGATATTTTCATCATCGTGAGTTTAAATTACCATGTCAAATTAGTGAACATCGTTTTACTTTCGGCAAGGAATGAATCAATTTTGGTTGAAGATATGATCCAGTTGGATTGATCTCGACCACCTTAGTTGGACCAAACTAATCCAATTTGATTGAATCAATCTAATTCATATTTTACTCGAATAAATTTAAATCTAATATATTAATAATATTTTATAATTTTATAATTTATCCAGAATTTATTAAATATAAAATAAAAATTTATAGAAAGCTTAAAAAGGAAACAAAATTCTTAATTTAACAAAATAATAATAATAATAATAATAATGTTATAATTAAGATTAAGGATGTAAAAGAGGATAAAAATAGTCGCGAAAAAGTTAAAAAATATGTATATATATATATATATATATATATATATATATATATATATAAAAGGTTAAAAATGAGAAGGTGGAGTTACGGTAAGTTTGAACAAAGGTGTGGCGGTTAAATACATTTATCTTTTTTATTTAAAAAAAAAAATTACAAATTTAATTTCAAACATTTTTTTTATTTAATTTTTTTTAACTTTAAAATGGCTAATGAATTTTTAAATGGTCAATCTTGTGCCAAATAAATTTTTAAAATTTTTATTTTATTTTTGTTTAAAAGTGATAAAAAAATTTAATTTTTTAAAAATTAATTCATCTATTAAATATAATTTTAAAATTTAACTTTTAATTTTTATTAAAGTAGATGAATGAATTTTAAAAATTATTAAAACTAAGAGATAAATTTTTTTATATTCAAATTAAAAAAATTAAAATATATACAAATTTCAAAACTGAAATATAGTTGGATATTACTTGTAACGGCCCAAGCCCACCACTAGCCGATAATGTTTTTGGACTTTTCCTTTTGCGCTTACCCTCAAAGCTTTAAAACTTGTCTGCTAGGGAGAGGTTTCCACGTCAAGAATAATTCATTTTTCTCTCCAATTGACGTGGGATCTCACAATTCACACCTCTCTTTAGAAGTCTAGCGTCCTCGCTGGCACACCGCTCGATATTCACCTCCCCTTCGGGACTCAACGTCCTCTTTGGCACACCGTTCGATGTTTAGCTCTGATATCATTTGTAACAGCCCAAGCTCACCGCTAGCAGATATTATCCTCTTTGGATTTTCCCTTTCAGGCTTTCCCTCAAGGCTTTAAAACCTGTCTGATAAGGAGAGGTCTTCACACCCTTATAAAAGTTTTTTTTTTCCTCTCCAATCAATGTGGGATTTCACAATCCGCCTCCCTCGGGACTCAGCGTCCTCGCTGGCACTCGTTCCTCTCTCCAATCAATATGGAAAGTAGACCAACAAGGCTCACTAATTCTCTTTCTTGGACGTTAGACCATAAGTCTGATATCAATTGATCAAGGACAACAAACCCTCCATCTATTTTTTGACAACAGTATGATATCGTTCACTTTGAATGTGAGTCCTCATGACTTTGTTTTGGATCTGTCCAAACGATCGACCCTACGAAATGAACATAACACTAATCAATAACGTCATAATCAAGCCAACTATTAATTTTATTTTGAAAATAAAGTTATGTGAAGCATATATTATTATAATGAAGTAATAAAATTCAAAGAATTTGGTATTTTTCTTGAAAGCATAAATGCTCAAATTGAGGCATATTGGACTAAAAAACTTGTCCTTCCCTAGAACTCCGCGTTTGAATGGTGCGTATACTTAGGATCTAACAATTTTCTTTTACGTTCTTTTTCTTCTTTTGGGAATCAACATGAAAATAATTTTTTTTTCTTCTTAAATATGGTATATATTATTGTATTTTTTAAGATTTATTATTAATATATAATAAATTTTCATACGATACAAGTTCGAGGAATGTTTGATTATGTTTTGATATTTAGGGTTACCGTTAATTAGTAGTTTACGTGATAAATATTTTTCTAATGAGATTCCAGTATTTTGTGTATGAATGAACAAATACCACATCTGAATGAGATGACTCTTAAGATAAAATGACTAAGAAATGTTTAAAAAAATTGAATGAAGACAAAACATGCTAGAAGGGCTCGTGTTGGTCAGTAGGGATGATCTTCATTCTTAAAAGTAAGAAGTAAGTAACGTAGCCATGTAGTAAGAGAATGTCGGAGTCATCAGGTGTTAAATCTAGATTCTAAAAAACTATGAGCATGGAGTGTTACATTATGATACTTTTATTAAAATTTTATCTTTCATGTTTTATTTTATGGGTCCTTTATACATTTAATTTTAACTTAGTTTCCACGGATTTGATCTAATAAATTTGTTGAAGGAGAAGATCGTATCTAAATTATCCAAGAACCCTAAAAACGATATAAAAAAAAAAATCAATTCAAAGAAAAGTTTTGGAACGGATTACCTTGATAATTAAGATCAAGAGTAAAGAAAACTTGTTTCTAAACTCGTGAATTGAATCACTCCACAAGATAGCTTGATCAAGACTACTTGAATGACTTTAAACCCTAAACACAAGAAATGCAAAGAAACACGCTCATAGATGAAGAAGTATGATATGCAAACTAAAACAACATGAACGACAGTAAACTTTACATAACTATGGATAATATAAAGTTGTAACATAACAGTCATTAGCTAATTGTAACTTATAAAACCTCTTTAAATATAATCAACATATATGGATCTTGTAATCGGACATAAAATCTTTACGTTATGATTAAGACATCTTATTGCGTATCACATAATAATCAATATATATTAATTATTGTAACAGCCCACGCCCAGATATTATCCTATTTGGGCTTTCCCTTTCAGCTTCACCTCTAGGTTCTTATAAAACGCGCAAGGAAGAGGTTTCCAAACTCTTATATAGAATGTTTCGTTCTTCTCCTCAACTGATGTGGGATCTCACGATTATACTTGAAGAATGAAAGTTTTGGGTAAGAATCAAATAAAAAATTAGTTTAAGTTCCCTTATCGAAAAGTGCAATTTATCTCAAAGAAAATCTATAACTCTCCTCATTTTCCCATGATTTTCTACTTTTTACCCTTTTCTTTTCTTTATTCGAGCGTCGTGTGATCTAGCGTTGAGTATATTAAGAAACATGCTGATCGAAGATAACAATGATTTGATTGATGGATGAAGATTTGAATAGATTTATGATGGATAGAATCATCTTTCAAATTTACTTTTAAAATTTGGAACTATATATACTAAGTAAAAGTTGATTTAAAATATAAAAAAAATTAATATTTAAATCAATGTCTTCCCATTTTTGTTACCTTTTAACCTTTTCACCTAAAGTTATCTTATCAAGTAATATGCATTTAGTCAACCTACCCATTATTAAAATAGTCCAAAATACTAATATAAAATAGGTTAGGTTTAAATTTCTAGTAATAATATAATATTATTGAGAAAAAAAAAACGAGTAAAGAGGAGAAATCGTGTAGCTTTTATAAATCGGTTTTGATTAGGAAATATGGTCGTAGAAGTCGATTTTTTTTTTTTTTTTTTTTTAGAGTTTAGAGTTTTAATTTGATGTTTCTTTTTTGGTTGGTTAATGTCAATTCATAATCAATTAGGTATCATTTACGCCGCTTGAAGTTGCTTTATAGTTTGCAGAATGAATTTGCTCGTTGATGACGAAAATCTTAAATTTACAGGTGATTCGTGTGCAATTTGGTTGATGGTTGAAGAATCGATTTAAGTGTCCTATGAGAAGTATTATGAGTTAACCAATCAAATTTCTATCACTGAAAGTGTCACGAGTAACAATGCTCAATCTAGCATCGTAGTAGCTGATATAGTTCAAGGGTCACTCCGAGTATGATTATACAATGTAAGGACGGTAAGTAAACTGTCTCAATTGATCATACCCTAGATCTGATTAGGGTCATCCGGTTAATATGTGAGGAGTATTTATAAGATCTCCAACT